GATAATGGTGAAATCTTTTACAGATAAGGCCAAGTTCCTCTTTATGTTAATCTCAAGAGGGAGGGATTCATTTGATACAAACTAAGAACAATGTTGACTCCTAAGGAATGCCCCAGTGTCACAAGGTGACCTCCTAAGGAATGCCCCAGTGTCACAAGGTGACCTCCTAAGGAATGCCCCAGTGTCACAAGGTGACCTTCAGCCTGTATTAAGCCTCCCTCATTTCCCGATACAGCATTTGGTCTACTATTATTAAATTTGATATTCGGCTTTCCTCAGTAGGGAGTTTTGCTGTCAACCCTGAAGTGGCAGTTTGGGTCCGTTAGTATTGGGAGAAAGACAAGGAGTCTTCTCCTGTGTGATTTACAGCTTCTGAGAATCTGCTGGAGAGTGTTCTAACTCCACGGCAAGGGGACCCTTCAGCATGTTTTTCAGAGGCCGTAAATCACATGGGAGGAGATTTCCCATCTTTTTCCCAAGCAGCTACTGGTGGATTCAGATCGCCAGAGAAGCACCACCTTTAGGTAAGTAGCACAGCTCCCTGTAGGCTATGCCATAGGCGCTCCCTAGGAGTTGGCTGGCCAAGCATGGCATGGAAAGATCATGAAGTATAAGGGCTTGGCAGTGTCAGTTTCAAATTCTTGGACTGCTGAGAGGGAGCAAGACTCTGAAGAGCCTTTGTTGCTCTTTGTAAACATGGCAGCAAAAAAGTGAAAAACACATGGTTAAGTAAAAAGGGTGCAAATGCTCTGTCTTCTCTCCTAGAGTTGCTGGAACAGAATGCCACAAGGGGGTGGTTTTAAAGAACAGGAATTTAGTGTCTCATTCTGGAGGCTGGGAATCTGAAATGGAATCTTGGCTGAGCCAGTTCCTTCTGGGGGGCTGTGAGCGAGGAACCCGTCCATGCCTCTTTTATAGCTTCTAGTGGCTGCCAACAATCCTTGATGTTCTTCTAATGGATCATGTGGTCTTCTAATGGATCATGACACAGGGTCATGTGGTGTGTGATTCTGACATGCTAGCTGTTCTCACCTTTCATAAGATAGCGCTCAGAAGGAAGTGGGATACACGTTACCCCTGGGTGATGCCCTGGTTGCCACAAACAGTTAAGCACTGGACTACTAACAAAAGATAGACAGTTTAAACCTACTCAGAAATAACCCCGCAAGACAGATAGGGTTATCTGCTTCTGAAAGGCGATGCCTTGAAAATCCTGTTGTACAGTTCTCTGCACATATGAGGTCAACATGCATTGAACCTAACTCAGTGGCAGCTAACAATAACAGTAGCTACTCCAGTGTGGCACAAATGGTTAAGTACTTAGCTGCCAACTGAAAGGTTGACAGTTTGACTCCACCCAGAGTATCCTCTGAAACTTCTAAGACCTGCCAGTCTGCTTCTGAATAATCACCTATTGAGAATAAAGGTATACTTTTCTACTCTGACATAAATAGGTTTGCCAAGAGTCAGAATCGACTTGCTAGCAATACATAGCTAGATTGTGTTTTGGGTGCCCATGGGAAACCTATACCTAGACCTGGAAGTTGTTTTGTGAACAGAGCAAAGGAATACTACATGGTTTAAGTGCGTCAGGGCTGTATTTTTCTCCATACCTATTTAACTTTATGCTGAGCAAATTATTCAAGAAGTTGGACTCTATGAAGATTAGTGTGGCATCAGATTCAGAGGGAGACTTCAATAACCTGTGTTATGCAGATTACACAACCTTGCTTACTGAAAATGAGGACTTGAAGTGCTTACTGAAAATGAGGACTTTAAGCACTTACAGCAGATCAAAGAACACAGCCTTCCATATGGATTGTATCTGACTGACAAGAAAACAAAGCTTCTTACCACTGGACCAATAGGCAACATCATGATGAAACTGTCAACAATCTCATCTTTCTTGGGTCCACAATCAACACCTTTGGTAGTAGCAGTAAGGAAATCAGGAGATGTACTGCACTGGGAAAGTCTGCAGTTAGGGACTTCTCCAATTATTAAGGAGTAATGATGTCAGTTTGAGGACTAAGGTGCGTCTGATTCAGACAGTGGTCTTTCTGATCACTTACTATGCATTTGAGAGCTGGACAGTGAATCAGGATGACAAAGAATTGATGCCTTTGAGCTGTGATGTTGGAGAAGAGTACTGAATATCTCATGGACAGCCAAAAGAGCAAACAGATGTGTTTTGGAGAAAGTGTAGCCAGAATGCTCCTTGGAGACAAACATGATAAAGCTTCATCTTACGTACTTTGGGCAGGTTGTTAAGAGAGGCTCTTCCTTGCAAAGGGACATCATGCTTAGAAAAGTGGAGGGTCAGCAAAAGAGAGGAAGACCTTCAACCAAATGTTTAACACAGTGATTGCTGCACTGAGCTCAAGTATGTCAAATGCTTAGGATGGTGCAGGATAGGACGGGTTTCATATCTCCTGTTAATAGCATTGTACTTGATTTGACAACAATCAGCCCTATGGAAGAAAGGCCATACAAAATAGGTTCATAACCACCAAAAACTCTGTGGAGCAGTTCTACCCTGTAACACATGGGGTCGGTCAAGTTGCAGTCAGCTCAACAGCAATGGAGTATGATTTGCAGAGACTCTTCCTAAACAAGGTCACATTCACAGATAGAAGAGTTAGACGTCAACCTGCAGGAATGTGCTCTTCGTGAATTTGAGTTTCATAACAGCCAGTATGTGATGTTTAGGGTGTGGACAGTTCTGTTCATTGAACTCAAAGTGCCTGTCCAGATTGGGGCTAAGCCTTGGCCTCTTGGGTTGGGAACCCCAGGTGGAAAAGGAAGAGCCAGACTCAACTCCATTCCCCTGGGGGTGGAAGGAGCCCATTACTGAGAAGAAGGTGAGAGACTTGCGGACTTAGAAGGAAGCCAGTCAGGCATTCAAGGAGACAAGCCAGTTGATTGGTGGATGATGGGCACTTGCTCAGAGTGAGGCTCCACTGGGGGCTGCTAGAGATTTGGAATAGTGAAGGGAGGGGCCCCATGCCTACTTGGAGCAACAGTACTCAACTTCCTGCCGCCTTCTCCCCTGCAGGACCCTGAAAGGGAAGCTGGCCAGGCAGCACCCAGAAGCCTTCAGCCGTAAGTGTCCCCGGAGCCCCTGTACCCCAAGTCTAGCATCTGTGCCCACAAATGCCAGACCTAGGAGAGCATACTAGGTAGTGATGCTGACTGGGCAGAGACTAAGTTGTCTTCTTGATAGCATGGGTGTTAGGGTGGGGGTCTCTCTGTAGGGGAGGCTACACAGAAGCACTAGAATGGGGATCATCACAGCCCTCCCCATCTTCCAGATGGGGAAACAGACCCAAGAGGTAAAACAGCTTATAGAGGAAATACAGCCAAGAAAAGACAGGGCAAGGCTTGAACTCACATTGTCTAGCCTGGAGCACATGTGCTCTTGACCCATCACTCCTTGTCACTGTCAACTCAGAGGTGCTTAGCCCATAATTAGCTTCAGTGTACCCAGTTCATCAAATGGGCCAGTAGCTCCCGGTTCCAGGGTTACTGATCACCCCAGGAGCAAGTGGCAATACTGTCATCACCCTGTGAATAGAGCACATAGCTGAGGCACAGGCATGTGACACAGCTGGCCTAGGTGACATAGTCAGGCCTCTATTGCAGGGCTGCTGTTGACATAACCCAGTGTCTGTATTCTCAGTTCTCACCTTGAAGGGTGGCCTTTCATCTGCCTGCTTCTTAGTTTCCTTCCCTGGCCAGGGAATCCTGCGGCAGTGTAGACAGTTTATGTACCTAACTGCTAATAGCCCACCTTGAGGTGGCCAGTACCTGAAAAATCGGCTCTGAAAACCCTCTGGAACACAGCCTGCTGACACATATGGGGTCTTCATGAGTCAGCATTGTCTTAAAGGCCACTGTTGTGGGTTTTTGTTTGCTTCTTTGTCTTTTTAACTTGAGCCAAGTCATGCCAGAGGGCTGGGGGTTGCAGGGCTTCAGTGGACCCACAGCTCAGCAAGGCCTCTGATTGGCTATTCTCAGCTGACTCTGGCCTCCCCCCCACCCTCAGACATCCCAGAAGCGTCCCTGTTGGAGGATGAAGATGAGGACCCCATCCCACCCAGTACCACGACCACCATCGCTACCTCGGAGCAAAGCACGGGCTCCTGTGACACCAGCCCTGACCTCATCTCACTCCCACTCAGTCCTGGCTTTGAGGACCTTTCCCAGGCCCGGCCTGGCTCCCCTACTCTTAATGG